AAGTTGTAGAATAAATAGCAAAATATAGTGTAGTATATCCTGTGACAATTAAAAATAAGAAAAAAAGGAATTTGCACTCACAGTTTGAAGAGCCAGGGTAAAAGTTTAAAATATTGACTACTTTAATATATTTGTTAGTTTATAAAACAATAAAAACAATATAAAATAGTAAAATACACCGAAACAACTATATTTCACCTATCCAATATCTTTTTTTTTTTTTGTGTTGCATACTATAGGACTTTACAGTATTTATAGGGTACAAATTTGAATCTGACACATGACATCACAAGTCATGTGATCAATTATCCAATTGCAATATTGTGTCTTTAAAACAAACGTTAAACTATTTACCAATAGAATACATAATTGCACTGGAGCAGTATATTATAAAACAGCTAAAATGCTTGTTTTTATAATATACTGCTTCAGTGCAAATATGAATAATTGATCACATGACCTGTGACGTCACGTGTCAGAGTCACATTTCTACCCAATAAATACTGTGAAGTCCTAATGTATGTAACACTTTTGAAAAGCCATTGGATAAGCAAAACATGTTAAATATCACTTACTATTTGATATTGTTTTTATATTTGTATAAACTAGCAAATCTAATAAAGTAGTTAACATTTTCATCTTAATTGGGCTTCACCCTGACTGTTTGCTGAGCACAGGACCCCATATTCCTATGGTGACGAAAATACCACCTGAGCGCTGTGTAGTGAACAATACCCTAATATGCTCCATAGTTGTGAGTACCTCTCCTATTTTAAATCAAATATATATTTACATCAGTGTGCACTATATATTGTATTCTGTGTTTTGCATGTATGACCTACTTACCAACAAGCCAGGGAGTTCTTAGGGTGGGGCTGATATTATCCTGACCTACTGTATTCAGTTGAAGTTCTTTGAAATATGGCACTTTAAATAATAAGATACCACATATCCTTAGGCAAGGATTATACCGCCGAGGTGCATATAGATAGAGCTATCTTAGCTCTACAAAATGTGAGTGCAATTCCTTTTTTCTTATTTTTAATTGTTACAGGATATACAAATACACTATATTTTGCTATATTTTTCTTTCTTCACATATTCTACTATTTCTGGAAACATCTCTACTTTAAGAAAGACATCTTCTTAACCCCTTAAGGACTGGACTGTTTTTGCGATGTTGTACATTTGCGACCAGGCCTCTTTTTACACTTTTGTGGTATTTGTGTTTAGCTGTAATTTTCCGCTCTCATTTACTGTTCCCATACAAATTATATATTGTTTTTTTCAGGACAAAAGGGGCTTTCTTTACATACCATTATTTATATAATCTCATGTATTTTAATTTTAAAAAAATAAAAAAATATGATGAAAAATTGAAAAAATACATGTTTTTTGACTTTTACTTGAAAAATCTTTTACTCATCTACAAAAGCGAATGAAAAAAACTGCTAAATAGATTCAAAATTTTGTCCTGAGTTTAAAAATACCCAGTGTTTACGTGCTTTTTTGCTTTTTTTTGCATGTTATAGGGCTATAGGTACAAGTAGGATATTGTGGTTTCAAAACATACATTTTTAAAATTTATCAATAGTGACATTGTAACACTATTATCTGTCATAAATCTTTGAATAACACCCCACATGTACATATTTTTTTTAAAGTAGACAACCCAGGGTATTCAATATGGGGTATGTCCAGTCTTTTTTAGTAGCCACTTAGTCGAAAACACTGGCCAAAGTAAGCATTCATATTTGTTTGTGTGTGAAAAAAGTAAAAAAACTAAATTGAACGCTAATTTTGGCCAGTGTTTGTGACCAGTGGTTACTAAAAAAGACTGGACATACCCCATTTGTAATACCTTGGGTTGTCTTCTTTTGCAAATGGTATGCCATCATGGGGGTAATTCTCATTCCTGGGCTACCATACGCTCTCAAAGGCAACAACGTAACCAACCTGGCCATTTTCAATGTAAAAATATTTGACCCATATATTTGACCTTGTAACTTTCAAAAATGCTATAAAACCTGTACATGGGGGGTACTGTTTTACTCGGGAGACATCGCTGAACACAAATATTAGTGTTTAAAAACTGGAAAACGTATCACAACAATTATATCATCAGTAAAAGTGCTGTTTGTGTGTGAAAAATGCAAAAAAAGTAACTTTCACTGACAATATCATCGCTGTGATATGTTTTACTGTTTTGAAGCACTAATATTTGTGTTCAGTGAAGCCTCCCAAGTAAAACAGTACCCCCCATGTGTCGTAGAACGTTACAGGGTAAAATACAGTGCTAGCAAATTAAATTCTCTGGAATTTCGGCCTGGGTTGGCAGGCAGATCCCTCAAATTGCAATCAATAAAATTACTGAATTATGTAAAAATATTACATAAATACGCACGTAGAATTTAAATATATATGCATATTTATATATTTGAAGTCTACGGGTATATTTATATAATTATTTATGTAATTTTGTATATGGACATATGTATATTTCATATTATTTTTATTTATTTAGATATACATAGATATATATACAAATTCATTCTAAGTGTATTTTGATATAAATATATATATATTAATTTTAAAATACAGTTAGAATAAAATTTCATATAGATAATTTTTTTTAAATTGTTATTATTTAAAAAAAATAATTTAACTTATTTATATTTTATAATTATATATACACAATATATAGTTATTATATATAGTATATATATACGTGTGTAATTTAATTATAAGTGTATTTTTATATTAATATAAGTACATATTAATATAAAAATACACTTAGTATGGCATTATATATATATATATATATATATATCATATATACACATATTATATAGATATAATATATGTCTATATATCATATATACACATATATAATAATATTTTTTTTTTATTAACACTAACTTTATTTTATTTTTTTTACTGATTTTACACTAGCAGGGGGACTGCCTGTCAGCACAGGCAGTCCCCCTGCAGGCAGACACATGGACACCTATTGTGACCATGTGATCGCTGTGTTAAAATGCCGATGACTGTCCTGAACCGTACTCGGTCCTTAAGGGGTTAAAGTGGCTAGAAAAAAGTGGATAGAAAAAAAAACAGTAAAAAATACAGAATTTGAAATACTCTGGATTGCCTACATTTGAAAATGGAATTCCATAATGGTGGAAAAGTTTTTATCCAGGCTGACATATGGGCTCAAAAGTAACAACAACAACCAGCAAACCATTCTGGCAAATTTTAATGTGTAAAAACTGAAATAAGCAAGCTCTATATTTGACCATGTAATTTTCCAAAACCCCATGAAACCTGTACATGGGGGTTACTGTTGGGACACTTGTGGGGCATCATAGCATACAAATAGGTGTGGTTTTTTTTTCAGTAAAAGCTAACAGTATGACGACATTCACAGTTAAAATGCCATGCATTTCTTACACATATTTTAGATTTTATTCTTATTAAATTGTGTTCCATATATAGATATTTGATGTGCAATAAAATCCATTCATTAATGTGAACAAGGTAAATTATGGTAGAACAAATATATAGCTCATATTCTAGGTTTTGGTTCAGAACTTGTACAATTGCCTCAATGCTTCAGAGATTAAGGTGTTAAATATGACATGTTTTAAAACATAAGCAAAATTCCTCTTGGATTCCATTTGTGAGGTGCAAATAGCCATATTAGCGCTTCATAGACCCATAGGTAGACTAGTAAACTATTAGGGCCCACTATGATATTGGTTCATTCTGCCAAACGTGATCACAGGAGACACAAATTAGCCCCATGCATTGATCTGTAAAGATGTAGTAATCAAGACATAAAGTCATTAAATAGAAAATGCACTAGATTCACAGGCAAACTGCAAAATAAATATGTTACTACTCCACTATTTTTAATATTACTATGCAAGAATAAATTGTGTTTTAGATCACTGGTATTTAGTATTATAGTGTATAGAATTAGACGTTGATTCCCTAATTAGGGAATTGACTGTCATACACTGCTTGGTGCAGTTATACACAATTCATATACCCTTCTCATCTTTTTCTATTTGTCCTATCAACCCCATTCTCTTCTCTGTCTTCTCTTGTCATAATCCCTATTCTCATTTATATACTCCAAATCTTTCTCTTTCACTTGTCTAAACTATTCTGATTCTCACTAGTTTAACCTCTCTATCCATCTTTTCCACTCTCACATTTACCTAAATGTTTCACCTCCTAAACCAGATTCTCAACTAGACTTGCCCGTTAATATTTGGCCATTTGGCCTGTTGTCGGAATTACACAACTCCAAAGCATCAAATGAACATATAACCAAACAAATGACTCTCACAATGGATGAGCATGTTTGTTTGATTCTTGATTCAGTGTTATGCCCATGCTTATGTAATTTATCAATATTTTGGATATCAGTACAAGTTTGTAAATAAAGAAAAAGCAGATTTGTAGGGAAAAATATTTTTGTTTTAACTGGAATAAGTAAAAATGTTATGTGTTATGTGTGACATTCAGTTTGTTTATTATTCTAACAGTGCATTCCTTTTTTTAATCTGCAGATCCCACTCGAAATTGACACTCGTGGATTTCTGAAGACTAAAAAACCTGTTATTTTGAATCTGATCCCTAGAGCAGCTCAGAAAACAGAGGATTAAATGTGTATGCATTGTAAACAGACTGATAAGATGATTCACTAAAGTCTGGATTGTGAGGAAGTCAAAGTGAATTTCACATATTAGGCCAAAATAGATGAACTGAAAACATAGTTGACATTTGTTTTTATTTTTGGTCCAGACATCTTGGTATAATATATGAAATTCACTCTGAATTTTCTTTGAATTCCTACCAATTCACTTTAGTGAAAAAATATGCCAACATATGTCTATATGCAATATATAAACCCCTGAGAATACAATGTAATAAAGGATATGCTATTTAAAAAAATAAATAATAATCTTTATATTTTATATAATTAACAGAATCCAGAAATGTACATGTAAAGGCATATGTCAATTACAGAGGGAAAATACGAGTTATATAACAATATTAGCAAGAAGTAATTTCAATCGAGACACCAACATTCTTATTTTTTGCACTAACTTTAGAAACCAATACAATGAAATTACTAGAATTACTTACAAATTTAAGTGTTAAGTCAAAATAAAGATTCTCGACATTGCTGTTAACTGGGTTTGGTTATTGAGGCCTAAGGAGCAGGGATAAGGATAAGACACAGTTATATGAATGTATTTACAGCAAGAAGGGACAAAGAAAAGGGGGTGGGGGAGAGGATTGAGCAAACATATTCTAAACAATTTAAAAAAAATACCAACCAGTTTCTAGTAGCCAAAATATTAATAACTATAGCTACATGAAATATTGGTGGAATACATTCACGGAAAATAATAACAAACATACTGAAATAGCAAGTTTAACTTGAAAATTTACCAAATTATAAGGTTCATTGCAATCTGTCATTAGATAATTATAGGGACAATATCTCATCATGTTTCAGGAAGAAGCTGAATTAAAATAGTAGTAGCCACTGTTTGAGAGTGTAACTTCCACTAATCTTAAGCAGACCAAGGCATTTGATATATCCTGGCACTTTTGAATATTTGGATCATGCTGTTATTAGAGATACTGCTGTTGGGTTAGAGTTTTTGTGTCAGTAGAGATATGCATGTTTTTTTATAACGCACCTATTACTATCACTTGTATCATGTGTTAAAGGTACACTATAGGCACCAAAACAACTCTAGCGTAATTAAGCAGTTTTGGTGTGTAGATCATACTCCTGCAGTCTTACTGCTCAATTTTCTGTCATGTAGTAGTTAAATGACTTTATTTATGAAGCCCTAGTCATCTCCCTGCATATGACTTACACGGTTTTCCTAGACACAGTCTGTAAAGAGAGATCTAATGTCTAAACTTCATTTATTGCACATTCTGTTTAATCTAGAATTTCTTATCTCCTGGCCTGCAGAACACAAGATAAAAAACATCTAAAGCAAGTTAATATCTGATAATGAAACAGTTTTTCTTCATGCAGGCTGTGAAAGTCAAAGCCTGGGGAGGTGTGGTTAGGGCTGCATGGACACAAACAAAATTTCTAAATGACTCATACACACATCTGGTCTGAGGTCTGTGTGTGAAGAGGCAGAGAATGAGCATGCCTGCTGTAAGCAGAGGAGCTAACAGAAGGAGGCTGCAAACATTCATGGTTCCCTGGTTAATTTGCAAAAGTGCCACAGAACAGCAATATTACAAGTTAAGTCTTAATTACTTGCTAAACACACTTTCTATCTGGTTGCATGGTATACGGATTGCATATACGACCACTCCACACCCCAAAAGCACTTCAGCTGGGGTTACAGGACCACTCCACACCCACAAAGCACTATAAGCAATATGTATGCCATACAACCAAATAAAGAGTGTGTGTAGCAAGTAATTAAGACTTAACTTATTATAATACTTCTGTTAAAATAATAGTTTCTTATATTTCATCAGAATAAAGTGCTGCTCTAGATTGCTTAAAGTACAATAAAATAAAAAATAAATAACAAAAACAAATGTATAATAATGCTAAACAATGTACAAAATTTGTTTATCATATACAAAAATTAGATCAGAGAATGCTTACTCCCTACATATTTAAATAACAGCTGCTAATTGAAATTCCACACCTAGTTAGCCTCATGCTGTAGGAAAAGTTCAATCATAGAAAAAAAAAAAGGAGTAGAGAACAATATAGCTGTTTCCTATAGTGCCATATACTTGGTCTATACCTACCTGTATGCCAGATAGCAAAGGGGAAGAAAGGCACCCAACATCTTTTTCACTCTGTAATAACACAGCTGAACTCTCTTGACGAAAAAGAACTGAAATCTACATTTAAGGGGTCTAAAGTACAATATTTTAGAAAGGGTCTGAGTTAGAAGTACCATATATTTGACTATTTTATGGATTCTGATGGTAAATAAAACTGCCATCAGGATGCTAAAAATATTGGCGTGTATAATTGTCACATTTAATACATAAACCTATACGTACTAGACAAATTAGTTTCTCTGTCTGGTGTAGATGGCAATATAATGCTCATTTTAAAAATCCAATTTTGGGAAAAAAGGTTATATGCGACTGAGTTATAAATAATTTCCTACTCAGCTATTCTTCTGAGTCTGTGTTGCTTCTGACAGGGGTATAGGGGGGAGTGACTTCAAATACATTTTGTACTCTGTGTGGTTGTGAATGTTGAGATAATACATTTTTAAATATAATCAAATCAGCAAAGTCCTTTATAAGTGACAATTTGTCGGTAACCACATGAACACATTGATTCTTAAATACTGAAATTTCATAATAGAAATATATTGTGCTTTGTATTCAGACTATTAAAATAGCTTTTATATTTGTAATTAGCGTTTGTGTGGCAGACAAAGTAGCATTTGAATACACAGTGGAAAGTGTTTAGTAGCATTGCTCTAAATAGAAACCATTATAAATATTTGCTTATTATCAATTAACTTTATGTGAGGCTGTGGGGGGAAGGGGGAGAGAGGTGTTGTGTGCAGAATACTTACTGATAAGGATAGGCAATGATAATTTGAAAAGGTTCTGTACTATTATTTAATATTGCAAAACTTCAATCTTTTAGTTTTTGCCTGCATATTTTGGTGTTATTCATGAATGTGAGAATTAACAAGGGAATTACAATTTTGTGCTAAAATATTCAAAAACAATTATTGTAAGTAGCACTTACAACTTTATTGAATGCTTTGAATAGACTTGCCAAAAACTCAGTACAGTTGCTGTACACTAGGTATACTTCCTCCAGCAACCACACAATTAGTAATACGCATGCAATCTTTTGATGACAGACTATAGTTTTTGGACTTTTCTCCTTTGATGAAGGACAGGAAACTGGTTGAAACATTGTTACCGCTGATGTGAATCCACAAATACAGAATTATTTATTTGGACTAAAAGAATTATGGATACTATTTCTTATTTGTACACACTACTTAAAATAATTCTGCCATGTTATGATGTGTTAGTCCTTTATATATGCAAAAATGTGTGCTGTTAAATTAAATATACAACTATAACTGTAATATTATGGATGATGCTACTAATTCCAATAATTTAGGTGCAAACTAAGATGTGTTCAAAGTTAGCAACAATAACAGCCTTTATCAACACATGTTACTCAATGGATAACATGGTCCAAAATGTGTCGTTCTATCTACTAACCAAACCGTAAAAGAACACTATAGAGTCAGGAACACAAACATGTATTCGTGACCCTATAGTGTTAAAGCCACAATCTACTCCCCCTGGCCTCCTCTTGCCTCCCTAAATATAGTAACATCTTATTTGTATTTAAGTCTGCAGCTGCTGCCTCTGCCCCTGACCTGCCTTCTGTCTGCTGACATCATCAGAAGTGGTGGTCTGAGCCAATCCCAATGCTTCCCCATGGTTGGATGAGACTGTCAAAAAGGCAGATCAGGGGCAGAGCCAGCACAATGATATCCTGATACCATAACTTACATTTTGAATGTTTCTTTAACTGGCACAATCGGTACTCACTCCTCATTTGCACAAACTTGGATGCAAATGCTACTTTCACAGTGTATCATTTCTATAATGCAAATCATTGATGAATCATCTTCTTCTGACTTTGATACTTCTCTTCTTAGTCCACCAAAAGGAACACCTGTATTCCTAATGCTACAGTGCCCGTCACTAGTAATATACAGGTTCTACCACCTTCACTGTGTGCAATAACAATTAATAAAAGAAAAGTTTTACTTATCTTTTTATAGCGGCGAGGCTCACTGGGCACTGTGCAACTCTCTTCGTCAAGCAGGCATGGCCTCCTCTGACGATGGTCCAATTCAATGCTCCTCATAAAGTAATATTGGGGACTTGATGCATCCAAGCACTGCATGCTTATCTAGGCTTCTTCATAGGCTTTCCTATAACCTTTCATGTCATGTGACTGAGTTTTACTCGGTCAGTGCAGCAGATGTGCCTTTAGTGGCTGGCTGGAGGCTGCCAGTTGAGGTGAGTTTAACCCTGAGGTGGTCTGGGTGAATTTATTGTTGCTTTAATCCTTTTGAGTTCTTTTTATCATATTGTCAAACTAAACATACAAACAAATAAAAATATCTCTGTACGGAAAATATAAATGAATGTTCAGACACCTGTGTGAGATCCTTTTCCTACACATACCTTTTCCTTAAACATACATAGATGCTAAACGAAAAGGTGGAACGATATGTATCCTTTTATATGGCCATATAAACAGTGCTAGTGAATGAATTAATTAGCAATATATACAATATTTTATTCCTGACTCTATAATGTTAAAACCATCATTTAGGTGGCTTGCCCCCCTTTAGCACTTTTTGAAAGGGTTAAAACGTACCTTATTTCCCCACACCCAATCCATCTCCTTGTTTACATAATCAGAATTTATTGTTTACATAATCAGAATATACAACTTTTAGCCAACCCAATGCTTTCCCATAGAGAAATTTGATTGGCTGAAATCGTCAAAAAGGCGGAATGGGGGTGGGGCCAATCAATGCATATCTATGAGAAAATTTCAGTGCCTCCATGCAGAGCGTAGAGAAGCTGAACGCAGTGCTGCCTAGTGTGCAGCACAAATACATTAAGCTGTAGTTGTTCTGGTGACTATAGTGTCTCTTTAACATAATCTGAGTGCACCTGTGTGCAAAGAATACAAGATTGTTCCAAAGTAGTTTTTGGAAAATATAGTTGTGGCGGAACCAGTCTCGCCACTGGGCATTGGAGAAGACTGATTGCCGGCCTTCTGCCCTCTGACTATGGCCCCATGTTGAAATGCTGGATTTTCCCCTGCAAAGACCCGAAAGCCAGGTCATTCAGTACTTTCCCTATGTGAGCAGTGTTACCCCAGATAGCTATGCCATGGAGCCCATTCGTATAACGAAAGACTATGTGAAAGACTTTGGCTCCATGGCAATTGAACTGTATGTATGTGATCTGAGCGCCATTCAGTAATAATTTGCGCTCAGATCTAAGCTATCTGGGGATATGTTGAATGTACCCGTTTTATGCAATCGCTGCACAGTTATATATTTTTATGTATTTTATTGTATTTTGCTACCATGTGGCTAATGGAGTTTTGCCTCTGTCCTTGGAGATAATTGGATTACTTCCCAATTATCTCCAGGATAGAAGACTCTGTGGAACTGGTTTTGGGCAGAAAAACCAAGCTTCATTTTGTCAAATATGACTTTCCCTTAACTTTTTAACCCCTGAACTGATTGCCCTGATTTTTGAGTATGTGTATATTCCAAGCATGCGGATTCTGAAAATGTATGTTTTATGTGAATGGCATGTATATTTTGGAAGTTATTAATATTTTGTAAAAACTGTATTTCTCTGCCTGTGATAATTATATTACCCATTGTGTTCAGTAATCATATCACAGGCAGAGGGGAGGATTTTGTGTGGGAGTGTCTGTGTGTATTGTACGGATTGATTGGTTGTATTTCAAAACCCTGTGGGCAGTACTATGTTTGTGGATTGTGAATAAAAGAGGCTGTATGTGCCAGTACAGTCAGTTCTGCTTGACCCTCAAAACGAAGTGTCGTCTCGTTACTGGGGGAATCTGCTACAAGGGATTGCTATGCTAGTCTTGTAAGAGCTTGTTCCTGTCTTGCTCTCTGGAGGAGTATACAGTGGTTATGGTGTCAGCTGGAGTGCTTGGAGCCCTCAGGAAGCACTAGGAGCATCCTTCAATGGAGGTACACAGTCGGGGTGCCATGTGATCCGTTACAATAGTCAATAGTTAAAATGAGAGGTGTAGATATGATATAAAAGGTGCACATTGCATAATACTGTTGGGGGATATCAGTAGATAAAACATATGTATAGACGTTACTCACATGATGGCTGTAGGAAGTTGATAGAATGAAGAGAGCTGTCATTCAATATAATTAAATGAAAAAGCATGCAATACTTTACAATTAAATAAACAAGAAATCCATATAAAAGGGATAATTAAAAGTACTAATCCAATACTCCAAGATGTGTTTCACCCGATGACTTCTCCAGTTGGATGTTTGGAAGTTTGTGGGAAATGTTTTGTGCACGTGTGTGATGGAATGCCATAATGTGTACTGCCACTCCTTTCTATTTCTGACAAGCTTGTGACTTTCCATATATGCTTGCAGGTTTACAACACCCCCTTCCCCCTCCAGATTCTGGGTGGTGCCATCTTCTGATTTGTGCACCTCCTTCTTTGTTGTTTGATCCACGTTACTTGATAAGAAGAACTTATGTAGGAAACTTTTAAAAAGGAAACCCTTGTGTTG